AGATACTTACATGGGGCATAAGCATTCACCTTTTGTAACTATAGGGTGAAAGTTTTCTAATGGTATTGAAGTCACTTTAGGTAAAAATAAACGTGATAATGCCTTAACCATTTTGAAGTCTAGTAAAAGAACTTAACCGCCTTTTAGTTTAAACTCTTGCTTAAAAAATTAAAAAGCTGTCTATACATTTTTAGAAATCTTGCGAAATTTTCTTTTCTATTGGTCTTACCCGTTGCAACTCATTTTCCCGTGAGAATGTTTTCCTGGCATGGTTATAATACAAAACCTACTTACTAAACCTTCCTTTTAAATCACTTTATCTAATTAAAAACCGCATCAATATCTGATAGGTATGTGGTTTAGGAGGAGCCTGTGGTGAGGTGCGAAACACGAAAAGCGACTAATGACTATACAGGGTGTAAGGACAGCTCTCCGAATACTGAATAGGGTGCATTCAGACCATGAAACTGAACAACTTCCCATAAGAAATATTTTCAGAACTCTTCAAAAAAATTTGGCTTTCCCACAGTAAATGCAGTCTGCTGGTCGTAATTTTGTATGGGAGGTCAACAAAAATTTTACTTCTCCTGAAATATTTTCCAATGGGAAGTTAAGTTGTTCAGTTTCATGGTCTGATTAGTACACCTTATCAGTATTCGGAGCTGTCTCCACCCAGTAGTTTATACAATGTATTGATATCTATAATCTGATAACATGAGAAGTTGTGACGATACAACACGGAATTATATGAACGCAATTAAACTTAAAAACCGGCTTGAGCTGTATGACATTAAGGTAGTTCACAAATTACGTGCAAGGCATAAGCTCCACAGTGTAGACGTGAGACGTGCGACATCGCGACGTTTGAAACCGTTTCCATATAAAATGTATGAAACAAGAATCAAAGCTACACACGTGAGACGCGCGTCTCATTGATACAGCTGACGATCGCTTGTCTGACAGGTGTCATGTTGCACGTCGCCTCACGCGTCTTTTCTGTGAAGCTTGCCCCTAAATAAACTTTACGGAGAATATCATTAATTTGCGTTGTTGGTATAATTACCTACGTTTATATGTCGACGACATTATGAGATGTATCATACAGAAATACCTAGTTATGTTATAGAGAAAGTTGACTCTGAAATTGCATTCAAAATTCATCAAATCGACTGGTACTCCGACCCTAATTATTATTTCAGTGCAACCACAAATTAGGGAAACAGCGCGCGGGGCGCCTATACAGATGGCTCACTCAGTACTAGCGACGATTTTGACGCTTACTGACTTCAACTGGAAATAACCGGAATCTCAGGGGAACTCAAGGTAACTAAGAAGGTGGTTGACATGAACGTCATATTTATTGGATTTAAAATTGGCTCAGAATCATATGACGTTCTATAACAGATTTTGCTGTTTTTTTTATACTTTGAGATTTTTGATAGTAGCAACCCTGGCTATGTAACAAGTGCTAATCGCGAAAATCCGAAATAGGGCCGAGTGAACTTTTTGTAAACTCTCTATTTTGTGGTGCGACCCCGTGTCCTTTAACTAAATAGATAACTTTCTATGATTGACACATAGGGGCCTATAATTCATCGTCATCATTTTGTAATGTTTTACATAAATAGCAATTAAGCATAGCATGTCACGGTCTCGGCAGGAGGTTGTTTAGTGTTTTGATGATTCTTTTATACAGAATGTTAACGGCAAGTTAATTTACCCTAGGTACTGGTAATTCTAGGCATTTGTACATCGTTTAGTAATGTAATTTAGTAAACAAAAAAAATATCAGCAGTTCCATAGAAAAACTTACAGCACTAGACATGAGAAAAACTTAAACCAAGCAAAACTTATGGAACTGCAGATTATTCTCGTAATTTTGGAGATGCCCCATAGCAAAACATTTTCATAATAAAATGCCTAATAGAATCAGTAGTTTAATAAATAACACTCTGTATTAACTTTTGGTTACAACACTCTGTATATACCTATTTAAAAGAACTTCTGCATCCCGGAAAATGTGTTGGAAATCACGTTCTCAGGTACCAACCTAAGTCCGTTAAAACACACAGCCAAACTTTATACAGAGTGTATTAACTGCAAATTTTGAGGTGAACCAGCCCGTGAAACTGAACAACTCTCCCAAGGAACATAGGACGAAATATGAAAAAAATTTTGGTCCTCCCATACAAACTGTACCAGCCGACCAAGTCAATTTGTATGGGAGGTCCAAATTTTTTTTTCATATTTCGACCTATGTTCCTTGGGGAAAGTTGTTCAGTTTCATGGGCTGGTTCACCCCTTAAAATATTTGCAGTTGATTTTTTTACACCTTATATACCCTACTTGGACTCGAACAGGTATTTCCGAAATATGCTACAGGTGCTACAGTCTCTAAAACTAAAATTAATAAGATTTTGAAACAAGTTTTTGGACATGACGTCAGTTTTGTTTTGGTTTGTGTTCTATTGTAAGCTATAACTAGTTTTAAAGCAACCTATGATGAATTGATGACATTTTTATCACCGTTTAACGAATAAATGATTTGGAAAAGCATGGCGCTATGTCGATCCAAACATATCAAACATACCTTCAGGAAATGGGCAGCAGCGTTCCCTGTAAATGCAAGAGCTTGCACTGCGCTTGCCAATCCGCCTGCCAAGCGTGGTGAGTATGGCAATACCCTGCGACAGGGGGAGGCGTATGGGAGGTCTTTTTATGAGAATTTGTTCAGTTTCATGGACTGAATGCACCCCATTAGTATTCGGGAGCTGTCCTTACACTCCGTATTTAGTCTACTGCTGGATATAAGGTTCTTCAGTTGCACGCAAATAAGAACCAGATTATATATCTCCAGTACCTAAGACCTAAGTCTTATCTAGTTTTTCTAGCCACCCTAAAAATAGTAAAAAAACGCGGTCACAGAATCTGTTCACTACGTAGCAAAAAGCTACGCCGTAGCGACCTCATTTGTACAAAATGTAAGAAAGAAAAACACAAATAAAAAATTAAATGGTCGAACCTTCTTTAGTTGAAAAGGTTAAAAATAAACCGTGTCTACTAGAAATCAATCTAGGGTAATCTAGAAAGTCTAGTAAATTTCAACTAGAAATTAAATATTTTACGGGTTTCTTCATCTACTGATTACTGAACCTACCCATAAGCTATAGCACGCATTTAAATTAACACTCTATATTTGCAAAAACTTAAACCCAGGGGTTCCGCCAAATGAGGTAGCGTATCGACAACTTTTGCGGTAATTTATGATTTATGCGGGTGTAAACTGGTTACATAGCTCACCGAAACCAGTCGAGAAACCGGTAAAGGCGACGACAGCTAATACATGGGGCACATGCATACCTATTACATGGGGCTCGATTCTGGCAGGCCATTTTAGCTAACTAATAGCACAGAATACATAATAGTACAGGTACAGAAGACGCACTCCGCCATAGCGATTCAACAAATATAAATCTTTACGCGCGATAATAAAGTACAATTTCCTTCGCGCCGGCTTTGGATACCTACTTTTATATTAGCCTACTCATCGCGCGCGCAAGCAAAAATGAGCCGAATGGCTGCATGCGAAAGTTCTTCTGCCGCTGGCGCGTCCTGAAGGTCACAGTCAGCGCGCTCAGTGGGGATGTCACTTTCGAATTTTAAAGGAGGAAGGCAAAAACTCTGACATCAGGGTTCATCAGGTTGTTGTAGTAGTAGGTACCTAGATAATAAATAATAATTTTATTACATAGCTAGAATCTATGTAGGTACCTATTTTCTTACCTTTCGATGTCACGCGGTAACTTGTGGAACTTGAGGCTTTTATCACTAGAATTATTCAAGCAATTATAAGCAATGCAGTATTTTCTTATTCTATTTTCGCGTAGGTAATTTACGTAAATTTAGTACAAAGAAAGAATTAAGAGCGGCTACGTGGGAGCGCGTGCGTAACGAGCGGCGTGCGGCAACCCACTGATTAACCGCACGTACTTGTAAATCTATACCTACGCAGCGGAGTGCGCCAGGCCTGCTAATAGGTAACAATTATTAGGGATTGCATGCAATCCGATCCGGCGGATCCCCGGATTCGGCGATTTTGGTGCTTTTATGTCCTCTTAATTTAGAGCTTATTTTCCTACAGGTTTCACCTTTTCCGGATCCGGTTGAAACGTGTTTTCAGCCAATCAGGTGGATCCAGCCGGTTGTGTGTTAAAAACTAAAATATATGGACATTTAATTAAGTACAAATCTTGAGGTGTAATCTATCACAGAACTGAACAACTTTTGTTTGAAACTTACTTGAAATATGAAAAATATTTGGTCCTCCCATACTAAGTGACACACATTTTCAACATTTTTGTGGGAGGTCCAATTTTTTCATATTTTGAAGAAAAGTTTCAAACAAAAGTTGTTCAGTTTTGTGAGTAGATTACACCCTCAAGAGATTTGTACTTAATTAAATGTTACCCTATATATGTTGCCACGCTAGCATACATTTCAGCGAATTATTACAACCATTTTAGACCAAGATTTTAGAATAACAGTCTCAGCATAGCATTTGGGAATTGTTTTCAAATCATTCTCTACGGCAGTTATAGGTAAGTAGTTACCCAAGCAAGGTAGGTACATATCTATTTTCAATCAAAACATAATCAATATAAAATAAATAAAACAAAGCGACATACCTAACAAAATTTGCATACAAACTTGTGGTTTTGAGGAAAACCGTGCTGTTAAATAACCCGCTGTGTCAGTGTAGCGGTAAGCCGGTAACATAAGCTTGGGATTGCCCAAAACGGAGTTTCCAAAATCATGTACCTATAACCTCATTAAATTACTGAGAGAAAGTGAATGTGTTGGGATTTTTAGCGCACTCACATTGCTATATTATTCTCAAATTGAAAAGAGTATTTTTTAGCTATAAAAACTACTACTAGATGTTGCTTAATCGCCGCTTCGAGACGAGCATCGAGGTTAAGAAATTCACCAGGTTCCGTCAGGCGCCCGTAGCTCAGTTAGCAGAGCAGTGGGACGGTACCCCACGGTCCCTGGTTCAAATCCCGGCGGCCGCTTATGAATTTTTCAATTTTCTCATCTCATGTCAATTTATGAAAGTGTTTTTAAAAATCTTAGTCTTCAAAAATTTTGGTTGTTTATAATAAAAACATAGAATTACATACCTACTTACTAAAGAAAACTTGCGTTATTTTACGGCATGCAGTATTAAAATCTGTGACTTCGTTGGTACCTACTATCGACGCCTCTAACCAACTGGGCTACAGCGGCGTATTAGCCTTTGGTGGAACTATCAAACAAAAATCACCAAGGAATTAATAACAAATAAAACATACCAGTTTAAACATAAATAATATTTTTATTTTCAATCACCTTATTTATATCATTAAACGTTTAAAATACGTAAACAAGATCAACACTATACCTACAAACCCAATTTTCCAGATGTTTAAAATAACTTTTGTTAATATGTTTGTTTATGCAATAAAATAAAATGAAAATAAACTGCGAATATTTTTGAAGGGTGAACCAATTCATGTAACTAAACAACTTTCTCGAAGGAACATAAGTCGAAAACGATAAAAATAAAATTTGCGTCCCATTCAAATTGACTCGGCCGGCTGGTATACTGTGTAATGAAAACCAATTTTTTCACATTTCGTCCAATGGTCCGGTTTATAGATGTAAGCCCGGTTTAAAACCAATTCAACCAAATCGTTTTAAACGAAAAAACCGTTTTAAATCATAAACAACCGTTTTTTCGGTTTAAAACGGCGGATGGTTGATAACAATGTTTTATTGATTTTTATACCTTTCGAAATATTACAAAGGTAAGGATCACTGAAATGGATTAATGATGTGATTTTGCGGGTTTATTACCTAGTTTGTCGCTCCGAGGCCCGAGCGTAGGTAACCTATGATGAGCAAGTCAGTGTAAAATCGTTGGAAACACCAATTTTGTATATACAGGGTTATATTAATAATTTGGATGTTCCATACAAAAATTCATACCTAAGTACCTACTCGGCAAAATTTTTGCATTTCGGCACGATTTTTCTACAACGGCCCTGAAATATTAGTCAGACGTGGCGATAGCGGCTGTATTGTAGGTACCTACGGCTGTTTACGCTCAGCCTACCCCGCAAGGGATAAAGGCGTGATTTGTGTATGTATGTGTATGTAAAACACAGAACTTTTTTTTGTAGGCGAGTTTTAAACGGTTGAAAACGGTTGATTTCAGGTTTTAAACCGCGAAATTTGGTTTTAAACGTTTTAAACCGGTTGATTTACATCTGTAGTCCGGTTCACCGCTTAAATGTGTGCAGTTTTTTAGATCCTGTATATATGATTCAGATTCTTTCATATACATTATATTACTTTGATTTCTATGCAGTAAACTTTCCCTTCACCATTTTTATCAACTTCATTTACGTTCGTATATGTCCCTTGTAGAGTCTCACTTTCATACAACACCACTGAAGTATTTTGCGTTGTATTCTCATTAGTATCTTTACTTTCTTCAATGCCAGAGTTTCTATTCAACATATGTTCGGTTTGATACAAAATTACTGAAGTATTTTGTTCTACATTTTCTTGTTTTTCTTTACTAGATTCTATATTAGAGTGTTTGCTAAGTATATGTCTTTTCAGTCCTTTCTTCCTTGCATAGACGGACCCGCAGTGTGCGCAAGGGAATGACTGAGATCGTTCGTGGGTGATCGCGATGTGCTCTTTCAAACTCAATTTGTAGCCAAACTTTTTGTTGCATATGGTGCACTGTTGGGACAAAAAATTTGAAGATAAGATAAGAATATACTTTCTTGCATAGAAAGTTACAAAAATTATAACATAATAATTTAAAATTGTTTAAAAATCTTATTGTTGAAATTGTTTTTAAGATTAAAAACTGTGTTTAAACTTGCCTTCCATGCAATGGTTTTGCCCAATAAAACACTTTTTTATTAATTTACAGATCTCGTTTTGGATAGTTTTATAGCGACGACAATTTGTTGACAAACAGCAAGCGATTAAATTCACTATTTCAAACAATGTTTCGTAATGTTTCAGCTTTCGTATAAACATGTGTATTAAAGTTCTTACCTGAAAGCAGTTGAAACACAAGTCACACGGGTACCTTTGCCTGTGTGCTCGCTTAACTGTCACTATGGTGATACACAGTCTTCTGAATGACTCTCACATTTTTGTCAGACGTGGTGTAAATGGCCGTTTTGCAGCTGTTTACGCTCTGTCTATCCCGCAAGGGATATAGGCGTGATTTAAAAAATCAGATGCAAATATTTTAAGTCTTTGGAAGCCTATGAAACTGAACAACTGTCCCAAAGAAACATAGGTAGAAATATGAAAAAAAATAATAGAAAATATTTCGACCTATGTTCCTTGGGGAAAGATGTTCAGTTTCATGGGCTAGTTCAGCCTTTAAAATATTTGCAGTTGATTTTTTTACGCCTTATATGTTTAAGTATTTGCTTACCTGGAAGGAGTTGAGGCCCAGATGTCTGCGGCGGTGCGCGCGAAGGTTAGAGCTGGACACGCAGCGCTGCGGGCACAAGTCGCACTGGTACGGCCTCTCGTCTGTATGCTTCCTAAAATATAAAAACAAACCATCATCTTCCTCCACACGACATATACTCACAGGCACAACTAACCGGCCACCAATTTCTAATGGTATATTTCATGTTGATTAGAAATATACTTATAAAAATATTTATTTATCTAATAAAATACGAAATGTAAATAGTAATAAATAATAATATAAATTAACAAATTTACAACTTATATTAACTGACAACCTATTACTATGGCGATACACATTCGTCTGAATGGCTCAAACTTTTTTCAGTCGTGGAGTAAATGGCCGCCATTTAGGAGGTCCAAGTTTTTTTTCATTTTTCGTCCTATGTTCCTTGGAAAAAGTTGTTCAGTTTCATGGGCTATTTCACCCCTTAAAATATAATATGTAGTTGATTTTTTTACACCTTATATGTAGACAGTAAAGTAACCATACCTTATGTGTATAGTAAGATTATTTTTCTGTGTAGTTCTAAATCCACAGTGTGGACAGACATATCTCTTGTCTCCCGTGTGAGTCACATTATGCTTGTTGAGGTAATCACGGCGTGAGAAGACTTTTCCACATGTCTGTAAATAAGAAATAAAAGACTTTTAATGGTGACAGAAAATTTCAATGTAATACAACATTATTATGAATATGATTTCTAATTGAAAACAGCATTTTCCCTTTTTCTGTTTGTATTTGTACTCAATCTGATAGTAATAAAATAATAGTCAAAACAAATAAATAAATTCAATGTTAGTCCTTTTCTTATAATTCATAGTATTACCTCACAAACATAAATCTTCTTAGCAGCATGTCCTTCCATATGCACCTTCAAATCTGCTTTCTTTGTGAACTGTTCCATGCATTTGTTACATTTAAATAAACTATCTTCTGGCATATCTACCACTTTATTAAGTCTGTGGTCTCTCATATGTTTTTCGTATGCCCCTCTTTTTGGTAAATATCTATTGCATAGAACATTTGTAGCCATTCTCTAGCTCTTTGCAAAACTGACTTTCATGGCCTAATCGGGCTTTCCGACTTTGGTGTAACTTCCCACAGCCAAAGCATTTGAATTTCCCATCTTTTTCTATACCATGCGCTTCTGAGTTGTGTTTTATAAGAGTCTTCATCAGGAAGTTCTCACAGCAAATGTTGCAGTATGTTGAGCATTTTTTTCCTGTACTGTGATTGTTTCAGAGTCTTAGAGCTTTCTTCATTATTAGTTTTAGTATTTCTAGTTTTTTCTTTTAGACAACTTTTTTGAGAATACTCTAAACGTCTCTCTGAACATTGTTCAAGTGGTTCAGTTGTTTGTCTTTGTCTTCTTCAGTGCTTGTTATATAACTGGAAGATTCTTTAGTACTTCTCGAGGATTCTAAAATATCTTGTAAACAGGCCTCTGCTGTTTGCGGACTATTAGGATAATCATGTATTGAATCACTACTAGACCATACATCATTTTCACATATTTCCGTCTTTTCTGCTTTAATTTCCCTAGCATTTATTGCAAGAACATCATTGTTCAAAATTCTGTGTAACTTATCATTGGCAGTATGGCAAAATGTCTTGAAATCATAAAATGTATCTATCTTATTGTAACAATCTTGGCACACCTTTTTGGGACAATATTCTGGATCGTCCTGAGATAAATCTATGTTAATGCAGTACTCCACTTTGAAAAACAAGGGGCTTTTTATAGTACATTCAGTCATTGCATCTTTTGCCCAGCAAAACCTGCAAATATCGTCTTGCAGAAAGTATTCTTTAGTGTACAATACACCTTTCACATCAGACATCACAAATATTGCATTGAAATTACTGGTTATTTGAAGAAATACCAAGAAAAATACAATTTGTTTACAAAATACGAGGCTTGATGAATGATGATTGTCGTTTGACATGTAAGTAGTATTGCAAACCCAAAGCAAAATGTTTTTCTGAAAGTACCGAAAAAAGGCAAGGTGCAGAGCAGAGCAGACAGAGGTGGGCTAGTTATTGGAGTTGGAGGAGGAGGGCTGTTGAAATGCTATGCTATACTAAATGCTAGGGAGCTTTTAAGAAAAAGAGAAGGGAAAAGCATGTTTAGCGTCGATAAAAACCCTTCGTGCACATAGTTGATGAACAATTTTGTTCAAATATTACATTCATAGAGGATACGAGAAAATAAATCCATAGTATCAAAACACTAGAGTTTGCAACATTTGTTTTTTTTAAAATAGGTTTTCAGGCCTGGATACAAATTTTTTGAGCTTTTGACATTAACAAATGTTGCCATTACTGAAAAAAAGTACGTACCGTTTCTCACTCGTGCTTTTTCCCGCAGCTTGCTTCGCTTTGTTGTTACTGTTGCTACAAAAAATATTGATGAACCCCATCCCCAATCATGATCATTTGTGCAGCAAAAAAGAGTAGACAAAAAATGAGGCGCCACTTTGTATGAAATGTCAAAATTAAATGGCAACATTGGCTATGAAT